GGGGGGGGGGTGTCCCTCAGCCCAGCCTGCACCCTCTCCAATCTGGGACCCCACAGGGATCGGGCCTAAACTGGCAGTCTGACATCCCATTCACAACCCAGTACTGCTGGCTCCCAACCACTTGCCTGCCTGGTTGCCCCCAACTGCCCTCCCCTGCCGGCCCGATCACCCTCAACTACCCTCCCCTGCAGGCCCGGTCACCCCCAACTGCCCTCCCCTGCTGGCCTGGTTGCCCACAACTGCCCTCCCCTGCCGGCCATCTTGTGTGAGGGCGTGATAATCAATTTGCATATTACTGCTTTATTATATAGGATGAGTCAATATCTATACATTATTATCAACTGAAGTTCAGAATTGACATTCTGCTTGCTAGGCTGAGAAGTCATGTTTTTTTCTGTTTATCAGAGTCATAGATGTTCACTGTCAAGAAAGTGGAAAATGCAAGGTAGTTTAAAGAGAAAAATGAAGGTGTCCGTGAGCCTCCACCCAAATGGAATCGCCTTGGCGCATCTGACACGTGTCTTTTCCGCCTTTTTAATTTAAACTAAAGGTGGACACAGATAGCTATGAGGTTCTTTTGGGATAGCAAGCCTCTGAGTTATCAATGTCCTCTGTGACGTGATGTCGCAGTTGCTGGCACGTACCAGCATCTGGGAGTGTGTCACCAGTGGCTGCCATGGCTCAGGTTGGTCCCATTGTTCTGTGACAGTTTCTTTGGGTGGCAGCTGTGTCCACAGTCATTTCCCTTGGCTTCTAAGCAAGATTCACCCAATTCTGGGTATGGTCGGTGACTTGTTTATTTGAGGCCCCCACTCTGGAAAGATGGCTTCCTGGACTCTCTGGGCCTAGGGCTTTTTCCTTTCTGCTCTCAGGCCTTCAGCATTACAGGTCTGCAGGCACCTCTCTAGGTTGTCTGACTTCCTGTTCCTGTCTTCAAGTCCTCCCATGGCAGGGAAGTGGATGGGCTATAACCCCAAGCATGGTTTGCACTTCCAGATAGGTCACATCTAGTGCTTTTCTTTTTATTTATGTATTTTTTAATAATTCTTTATTATTGAAAGTATTACATATGTTCCCTTTTTCCCCCCCATCGACCCCCTACAGCCTGCCCCTGCGCTGCCCCCGCCCCAGGCCTTCAGCACCCTATTGTCTGTGTCCATGGGTTATGCATATATGCATACAAGGTCTTTGGTTGATTACCTGCCACCCACCCACCTTCCCCTGCCTTCCCTCTGAGATTCCCCACTCTGTTCCATGCTTCCGTGTCTCTGGATCCACTCCGTTCATCTCTTTATTTTGTTACTCAGATTCCACTATGAGTGCGATCATGTGATACTTTCTCTGACTGACTTATTTCACTTAGCATGATACTCTCCGGTCCCTCCATGTTGCTCAAAGGGTAAGAGATTCTTCTTTTTTACGGCTGCATAGTATTCCATGGTATAAATGTACCACAGCTTTGTTACCCACTCATCTACAGATGGGCACTTGGACTGTTTCCAGATCTTAGCTATTGTAAATTGTGCTGCTATGAACATAGGGTGCATACATTCTTTCTGATTAGTGCTTCAGTTTTCTTAGGATATATTCCTAGAAGTAGGACCACTGGGTCAAGTGGCAGTTCCTTATTTAATTTTTTGAGGAAACTCCATACTGTTTTCTTAAAATTCTTTATTGTTTAAAGTATTACATATGTCTTCTTTTTTCCCATTGACCTCTCCCCAGCCACCCCCAACCCCCAACACATGCCCTCACACTCCTAGTGTCTGTGTCCATTGGTTATGCTTCTATGCATGTATACAAGTCCTTTAGTTGATCTCTTACCCCTCAACCCCACCCTCCCTTGACTTCCCTCTGAAGTTTGATGGTCTGTTTGATGCTTCTATGTCTTTTGGTTGATTACCTGCCACCCACCCACCTTCCCCTGCCTTCCCTCTGAGATTCCCCACTCTGT